GGGGAGGGGGTGGGGTCAGGGGCACCGCACCAAGGGGGGCCAGCACGAGGGGTGCGGGTGTGCGGTACGGGGTAGGGGCGGTCCGTCGCCTTGCATGAGTGAGGGAGTACTCACAGCCGCGCCGGGCCTGACGCCCTGTGTCTCCAGTGAGACGTACACACGCTTCCCACACGCAACACTCTCTCGCCAAGTTCGGTATGCCAGGTTCCCAACTGACGGAAATGCTCAATTGGACAAAGTGTTCAAAGCTGCTGGGACGCCCCGAAGCAAAAGCGGGGTCCCCTAGCAGCAGGAGGCGGCCACGCCAAAGCCCCAGCCAGACCCCCCAGGCGGCGCCCCTCCCGCGCGCCTGCAGCAGCAGCTCCTCCAGTGGAACCCGGCTGATCTCTGGAACGCCGTAGCGCCGCATCTGGCCCTCAAAACGCCGCCGGGTGTAGAGGCAGAGGCACCTGCCTGGCCGCACGCGGCCCGCGCGGCCGAGGCGCTGCGGAAGGCGGGCGGGCGGGATGGGTGGGGGCACGCAACAGGGTGTGGTGTTTTTGTGTTAAGGGACGGCGTTGTCAAGGGCCGCTCGCGGCTTTGGCTTGTGCGGAGGATTCGGGCGGTGAGGGGATGAGCGGCGGCGCCGCGGGACAGCGTTTGCGCTGACAGTGAAGGACATGCCGAAAGGCAAGGGCGCCGCGAGGAGACACGGCCGCAGGTTCACAGAGGACTGGCGCGGCCAAGTCAACCGCCTCGGCCGGCCTTAAAGGCTGGGACCTTTGCAGGCCTAGAAAGTTGTTCAACAAGCATTGCTGATTTGCAGGTCGTTCTGAAATCATTGATTAGCAGTTTCACACCTGCATCGCCGCTGCCCTGCTGACCCAGTCCTCCACCAGCAAGGACATGTGGCGCTGGGGGTTGTACCTGGGGTTCAGGGGGACGGCGGGGGGAGGGGGAGAGTTGGACGGGGCGAGAGAGGGTTGGGAATTGGGGAGAGGAAGGGGGAGATGCAAGCTGGGCGAGAGAAGGTTGTGGTTTGGGGGGAAGGAGGGTGGGAGGTGGGCAAGGTGCGAGTGGTGCCCCCGATTGGGGCATGATTTGCTTGCAAGGGAAGCGGGTGGTTTGTTGGGTTGGGGGGTCACGAGCTTGGGAACACCTGGCGTTTGTAAAGCGCTCCGCAGAACAGCTGCGGCGCATCCTCCTTGCCGGCAAGCATCGCACTTCTCGTGGCACCAATCCGCCTCTGCCCCTGACTGGGCCTGGAAACCCCCCTGCACCGCCTTCACAGGCAGCCTCAAACAGCTCGACCCTCTTTCATGCACGCCCCGTGCCTTTACTGCCGCAAACACCCCCCTTCCACGCCGACCCTCCGCCTCCCGCAAACCTTCCCTCCTCCCGCAACGATTTCGCACACAATACCATCCTTTCCCCCTCGCCATCCCGGGCCGCGCTTCTCCCCCGCAGGCTGCCGTGCTCA